AAGGTAAGTCTATGGGGAGTGGGGTTGGAGGGCCAGGGCTTGGGGGCTGTCCAAGGTGGTAGGGGACGAGTGTGGCAGGGCTATGCGAAGGGCATGGATGTGTGAGAGGGGCCGGTGCCTGGTGGTGCTGGGGAAAGCTGGCTGGGCCCTGCGGCAAGCAGGGAGGAAGGTTCCTGCCCCTCTGGGTAGGGAAGGGAGTGAGGGCCCCTTTTGGGGGTGGTGGGGAGCTCTGTGGCTGGCTTAGTGGCACTGGGGGGCAGTGCCCGTGCTTGTGGGGGCAGGGCGACCAGGAGATGCTTCCTGGGGGAGAGAGGGGCCATGGCCAGGCCACCTGGTATGTTGCAGGAGCCCCAGCCCAGGGCAGGGGTTGCCATAGGCCTCCCCTCCTCTTCCCTGCATCCCGTGCCAGGCAGGATTCACTCCACTGCTGACTGCATGAATCTGAGCCTTAGTGCTTCAGCCTGGTTGGGACAGGGACAGCTGGGGGGAGCAAGGGGCTGTGGGTCGGGAGAGAGGGGAACCTGCAGGGTTGGGGAGACTGTGACTTGTGAGTGAGGAACACCAGCAGGGATGGGGGGCTGCAGGTCAGGAGTGAGGGGCACCAGAATGGCTTGGGGTAGGGGACTGTGGGCTGGGAATGAGGGGAACTGTCAGGGCTAGGGGGCTGCAGGTCAGGAGTGAGGGTCTGCAGCAGGGATGGGGGGTTGTGGCTTGGGACTGATGGGCACCAGCATAGCCTAGGGGGTGAGGGACTGTGGGTCAGGAGTAAGGGGCACCAGTACGGCCAGAGGTCTATGGATTGGGAGTGAGGGGTGGCAGCAGGGATGGGCTGTACCCCATACATCTACTCCCCTGTCCCACACACTTGGAGGCTGGGGGTGGGGGGCAGCAGGTCAGGAGTGAGGGGCGCTCAGTTGGAACTGGCCCCCGATGTTTATAAATGGGTCCTGGTACAGAAAAGGTTGAAAACTGCTCTGCTCCTATACCCTACTTTTTCCATATAGGCAGTCAGGAATAGCCTCAGATTTGTGAGAGTTTTGTGGAATAAGCAAAAATGTTTATTGACCTGCTAGGAATAACTGGCTTTCTTTGGTATAAGTATCATAAGGGTAAAGAATGAAATTGTATTTCAATGTATAAAAGTAGCCTAAAACTGAGATTTCAGTTTGGAGCTATGTACAGCATGGACCCAAAGCTCTAAATATTTTAAATATTAATCCTAGCCATTTTTAGCTGGAGAGAGTACATTTATAGGGACATATTTTTAAAACTGCACGTAACACTCAAACAACTCTATGCGGCACTGGTCAGGCCGCAGCTGGAGTACTGCGTCCAGTTCTGGGCGCCGCACTTCAAGAGGGATGTGGACAGCATCGAGACGGTCCAGAGGAGGGCCACTCGCATGATCAAGGGACAGCAGGGTAGGTCCTATGAGGAAAGGTCGCGGGACCTGAACCTGTTCAGCCTTCAAAAGAGAAGGCTGAGGGGGGATCTTGTGGCCTGTTATAAACTGGTTAGGGGGGATCAGCAGGCGCTAGGGGAGTCCCTGTTCCCCCGAGCGCCACAAGGAGTGACCAGGAACAACGGTCACAAGCTGGTGGAGGGAAGGTTTAAGTTGGACATCAGGAGGCGCTACTTCACGGTCAGGGCAGCTAGGGTCTGGAACCAGCTTCCAAGTGAGGTGGTGCAGGCTCCCACCCTGGGGGGTTTTAAGAGGAGGTTGGATGACCACCTTACTGGGGTCATTTGACCCCAGTACTCTTTCCTGCCATGGCAGGGGGTCGGACTAGATGATCTGCTCAGGTCCCTTCCAACCCTAGAAACTATGAAACTGATCACATTAATTTCTAACTTACCCATATCAACCTTCAGATAAAAATGTTATAAGTTGCATGGCCATATTGTGGTGTATAATACTCTGTTTGACTTTCATTGTGTACATTGATAACATTTTATTTATATACACCTTCATAATGACATAGCAGCACAACTGGAGCAATATAAATTAATTTTGTAGTAATTGGTAACAGTGAAATATTGTTCTATCAGAAACGATGTATTGTAAAATAAATTTACTGTAAACTTAATGCAGAACAATGCTTAACTAGCACTATTTGTGAATAACAAATTCTGTCGAACTGACAATTTAATGCAGGTATTTTAAAATGAGTTGTTCTGATGCCAGAGTGATGGATTGTGATTTTATTAAGTATGGTGTCTGAAAAGTCCAGTATACTATATATGCATAGAAGAACAGATTATCAGCTGCTCACTATACAAATATATTGCTTAATGAAATGTGTTTTGGTGATTCACATAAATCATGAAAAGAGTTTTTGGCATTTCTATAAGAAAGCTGTCGTGAAAAATTACTTGCATACACACAAACTGTAGTGAAATTCCCTTTTAAATTACACACACGCACATGTGCATGTACACCTGTTCGTTCTCTCCCCCTTCCCCTTCCTCCCTGCCTCTTCCTCTCTCAGGTTTAGGACATAAGCCTCGTCCAAATGAGCACAGCAATGCAGGATGTGGTGCCTCAGATATGTCTGCAGCGCCACATACCACACATCCAGTTGTTCTACATGCTGCAGAAGAGCAGCACAGAGGGTCTTTTTGACCACTGGATATCCAGGGGGGGAAAAAGCAGAACAGCGCGTATCACTCTAAAGTGAAGCTGGGCCATCTGGAGCCACGCTGCAGCTGCCAGCCAGGCTCCATAAAGCAGAATCGCCGCTGCTATAGCACCAAAAGGCCCCCAGGTAAGGCTGCTGGGGCCAGCCCAGTGCTGGCCTCAGCCTGCCTACTGCACCTGGGGTAACTTGCCATGCACCAGACGAAATGCAACATGTGCATTCCTCAGGGACAAGTAGTGGCAGTGCAAGGTGAGCCACTGCTAGTTGTCCCCCAACCAAACATCCACACTGCATGGCTGCGGCCATATTATGTAAAGATTTTGGCTGCGTAAGCAATGCATAGTGTGCCCTGCTGGTGCCTCCCCAAACTCGGGAGGCACCAGTAGCCCATGTTTGGAAGCCTTGGAATTGGCATGCAAGTGACTCCATTTTTCAACAGATTTTCAAACCTTGTCCCTCTTGTATGTCTAGCATAATATAGATGTATTGAGAACCCAAGAAATTCAGAAATGCAGTTGAAACTGTGGTCTGAGAAAATGTGTTATGAAATGCTTGTCCTATGGAAGTAAAGGGCCACAGTTTACAGGTAATTAGGAGGAGAAGTGGGAAGTACATGGCAAAAAAATAAAATGTATTTTTGGTAATGGCTAAGGTAAGTGTAGAGACCAAAGGGTTAGACATCAACTCCTGCTTTTCTGAGAGAGATTTGTCATTTTAACTTATGCAGCTAACGTGCCAACTAGTTTGAATCTCATGTGCCATATGTAATATATAAAATATTTCTGTGCATCCTAGGTGTTTGAATTTAAAGTTAATTTAATTGCCTAAATTATTAATTAGGTTTAATGATTAATAAATAGAACAAAACATTAGACACCACTTATGCAGGAGAGAATTAACTAAGAATAACAAGGCTCTGCATTTTGGTACATGTGTACACATCCTAGGGTGCTTATTTTGGCTTTTGGGCCCTTTGGAGATGGGGGTTGTTTGATCTTGTTATCAGAAAAAAAAATGGTTTATCTAACCAATTGTGACTATCTGCAGGAGACTATACAAAGCAGCTTAGCCTTGGTAAGACCCTTGCATAAGGACCTATCCAGGAGGCCTAAGGAATAGAGAAGAAACACTATCTAAATTGAATGGTCTTTCACTTCATTCAAAAAGAAAGATGCCTCTGTTACCATGGATTTAATGCTACTTTAGCCCATTTTGCAACTTCTGCTTGTTAATAAAACTGGCCTTGGGGAAAAGGACAGAATTTGGAAGAGAAGAAAATTTGAACTTAATTTTGACTAATGACTAATAAATCTGTGCACCAGCCTACTGATATTATCTTTTACAGAATGCCTTTGCTTTCAGATTTCCTTCTCTTCTTTTCCCTCGTTTTCTTGGTAGAGCTGTGTGAAAAATGCATTTTTCAGTGCAGTGGCCCAACAGAAAAACTGAAAAAGAAAAAAATTATATGAGGTCAACTGAAGCATTTCATTCCACCCAAAATGAAATAGTTTGCTTCATTTTCAAGTTACATAACTCTTTTTTTTTAATTTTATCTGACTTTGCAAATAGCTTCAGCTTGCCATGAACTGCATTTTTTGGCAATTCTAATATTCGCCCCCTTTCCCTCCCCTGCCAGAAGACCTGGCACCTGCCTTTCCA